CTGGAGGAGATTATGCTAAGTGAAATAAGTCAAGCAGAGAAAGTCAATTATCATATGGTTTCACTTATTTGTAGAACATAAGGAATAGCATGGAGAACATTAAGAGAAGGAAGGGAAAAATGAAGGGGGGGCGGGAATCGGAGGGAGAGATGAACCATGAGAGACTATGGACTCTGAGAAGCAAACAGGCTTTTAGAGGGGAAGGGGGGGGATTTGATAACCCAGTGATGGGTTTTAAGGAGGGCACGTACTGCATGGAGCACTGGGTTTATACGAAAACAATGGATCATGGATCACCACATCAAAAACTAATAATGTATTGTATGGTGGCTAACATAACATAATAAAATTAAAAAAAAAAACTAATGATGTATGGTGACTAACATATAATAATCAAATAAAATTAAAAATAAAATATAAATTAGATTTTAATGTAAAGACTGTAGTAAGGAATGAAGAGGGACACTATATCATACTTAGAGGGTCTACCCCACAAGAAGATCTAACAAATATAAATATTTATGCTACTAACTTGGGAGCAACCCAATTATATCAACCAATTAATAACCAAATTAAAGAAACAGATTTATAAATTTACAATATTAGCAGGGGACTTGAACTCCCCACTCACAGCAATTGACAGATTGTCTAAGCAGAAAATCAAGAAGGAAAAAAGGACTTTGAATGACACACTGAAAGGACTTTGAATGACACACTGAATTAGATGGACTTCAGAGATATATACTAGACATTCCATCTTAAAACAACAGATTACTCAATCTTCTTGAGTGCACCTGGAACTTTATCTAAAATAGATCAGATAACAGTTCACAAACCAGATCTCAACTTATACCTAAAGATTGTGATTATGCCCTGAATATTTTGAGACCACAATGCTTTGAAAGTTGAACTCAATCAGAAGAGGAAATTTTAAAGGAACTCAAACACTCGGGGGTTAAAAGCATCCTGCCAAATAAAGAGGAATGATCATGCTTAGAGCAGAAATCAATGAAATATGAAGTAGTAGAACAGTAGAACAAATAAATGAAACTAGGAGCTGGTTCTTTGAAAGAATTAATAAGATCTATCAACCTAGAGCCAGACTTGTCAAAAAGAAATGGAAAGGACCCAAATTAATAAAAACACATCTCCAAAAGCTAGTGAAACAAAAGCAAAAATGAACTTTTGGGTTCATGGAACCCAATGGAATGAAAGAGGAGCGATCATGACCAACACCAAGGATATACAAACAATTTTAAGAACATATTATGAGCAACTCTATGCCAGCAAATTTAGAAATATGGAAAAAATAGATGCATTCCTGGAAAGTATAAACTACCAAACTCAAACAGGTTTAAATAGAAAATCTGAACAGACCCATAACAAGCAAGGAAATTGATGCAGTGATCAAAACCTCCCCCAAAACAAAAGTCCAGGCCAGATGGCTTCTCAGGGGATTTTGCAGTTCTAATTGTATTTTAATTACATTCTCATGTTTGAAGTTGAGTTTTCAAAGACATCTATATAATATAGGAACACAATAGGGACTAGAAGTTCCTACATTGATGGAAATTTGTTCTTCTTCATCCTCTTCAGGTCAGTTGTTATCGAAAGTACATAAATAATACATTCTCTGAAATCCATATTGACATCTGCAGGGTGAGAAGCAACTTTATTGCGATATCAGAAACTGCAAACAAGCTACCGATGATTAAAACAAATGCTTTTTGCTACACACAGCAATATGGATGGATTTTCAAGGAATTAGCAGAGCAAAAAGAAGACCTACAAATAAAATTACATACAATATAATGGCACATTCATAAATTCTCCCAAATTATAACTAGTCTATGTAACATGAGAAATAAACATAGTTATATGGCAACAGGATGAAGAAAGGATGAGGGAAGAGGAATTTCAAGGAAAATACAGGATGTTTTATGGAGAATTGATTTCCTCACTCTGGATAATGTTGATACTGATACCAGTGTTTATCATTGCACACACTCTGCATGTGTGCAGTTCATCCTGTATCAAGTACACTCATCAAAAGAATTACAAATAATCAGAGAGATGACTCCAGTGGAATATCTAGATACTGAAATGGTAGAAAATACACCTGCATGAACCCCAATTCTCTCTATATTTCAGGTAAACTCTAGAGCATGTAAGTCATCCTGTCCCAATCACAGGAGGGATTTCACATTCCTCATGAGCCTGCTCACTCTGTCCTCCAGGTTTTTCAGGTGGCAGTAGGTCCTGTGGGGATGAGCACATGCCCAGATCCGGGGGCTCACTCACAACCTGTACTTGCTTTTGGACACCTCACAGACCCTCTACAATTCTGGGTGTAGGTTTACATTTCTTTATGGGATAACAGGACACCTATCCTGCAAATCTGTGTGAATATGTAAAACCAAAGTAGCACATGGAGGCCAAGTACATACGCTGGAAAGTTATATGATGAAAAATTATATTTCTTTCAAAAGTGGTCAATAGCACCAAACAAAGGCAGTCACACCTGCTCTGGTCACTGCCCTCTATGTTCACATAGGTCCCAAGCTGAATGTATAATCAGAGGACATGCAAATAGGGCCCTCCCTCTGATAATTAAAGAAGCTGAACCCTGACCCAGTATCTGGGAGAGGAGCCCCAGCCCCAGGATTTCCAGGCATTCCATTCAGTGATCAGGGCAGAAAACAGACAGTTCACTATGGAGTTCTTGCTTGGCTGGGTTTTCCTTGTTGCTCTTTTAAAAGGTAATTGGTGGAGAACAAGAGAATTGAGTATGTGAGTGGATATGATTGAGAGAAACAGTGGGTGTGTGACAGTTTCCTGACAAGGATGTCTTAGGTCTGCAGGTTTCCAATGTGAGGTGCAGCTGGTGGAGTCTGGGAGAGACCTGGTGAAGCCTGGGGGGTCCCTGAGACTCTCCTGTGCAGCCTCTGGATTCACCTTCAGTAGCTATGCTATGAGCTGGGTCCGCCAGGCTCCAGGGAAGGGGCTGCAGTGGGTCGCAGGTATTAGCAGTGATGGAAGTAGCACATGCTACGCGGACTCTGTGAAGGGGATTCACCATCTCCAGAGACAATGGCAAGAACACTCTGTATCTGCACATGAACAGCCTGAGAGCCAAGGACATGGTCTGTATTACTGTGCAAAGGGCACAGTGAGGGGAAGTCAGTGTGAGCCCATACAGAAACCACACTGTAGAAGGGATCTGGACCACCAGGGTGGGCACACTATTCATCCATTCTGCCTTTAAGCCCCAAGAGGATCTGCAGATGGATGTTATGGTCAGGTTTCCTGTCAGGGTCCGAGGCTTCCACTTTATAGAGCAGTTTCCCCCAGGGGGCCTCTCTGAACACATGACTCTGCTTACCTCTTCACTCTCTGACTTAGAAAATTTGTACTAATGGGAAAACAACTACACTAAAATGCACAAAATACAGAGTCACATTGTTTATTCATGTCCCAATATATCAATGATTTACAAATACACTGATGCTCATCAACTGAACCTTTACAGGAATCCCAGAGTTATCCAGTATGCATCACAGGACCGTCCAGCTCAATGTGCTAACTTGCTAGAAGCAGCAAAAAGTACATGCTGTACATGAGGTTTCAGAGTCATCTGTAGCAAGAGAAGCAAGTGAAGCAAGAGAAGAAAGTGCCTTAGTGGGGGTCACTGTCTTAAACCAGGCTCATAGTTTCAATTTTAGTGACAACATGGGAAAGCAGTGGATCCCCTTCCAGGGGTGTGATCTGAAGATCACACACACACACACACACACGAGTATAAACTCTTTATCACCTTCACCTAATTTCTCTGCAGCAAAGGCGGTGCTAAGACAGAAATATACAGCATAAAGGAATACCTCAAGAAGCAGGAAAAATCTGAAATAAACAACCTAAGCTTACACCTGAAGGATCTAGAAAAAGTACAACTGAAGCCTAAATACAGCAGAAGGAAGGAAATAGTACAGATTAGAGCAAAAAGAAATAGAAATAAATGCTAGAAAAGCAAACAAACAAACAAACAGATAAAAAACCAGGGTCTGGTTCTTTGGGAAAAAATGAGTAAACTCTGCCTAGATTTATCAAAAAGAAAAGAGAAAGCCCCAAATAACTAATATCAGAAATCAATCTGGTCTAGTCTGTCATTCAAAGCCCTTGTTTTCTTCTTCAACTTCTACTCAGATGATCTGCCCATTGCTGTGAGTGGTATAGTTGTACTATTATCCCCTAGTATACTTGTACTATTATCAATGTGTTTCCTTCTTTTGTTATTAATTGTGTTATATACTTGGCTGCTCCCAAGTTTGGGGCATAAATATTTATAATTGCTAGAACTTCATGTTGGGTAGACCTTTTATAATGAGATAGTGCTCTTCTTCATCTCTTAGTACAGTATTTGGATTAAAATCTATTTGTCTGACATAAGACTCCAGACTTCTTCTGATGTCCATTGGCATGATAAATTGTTCTCCATCCCCTCACTTTCAATCTGACTATGTCTTTCATTCTAAAATGAGTCTCTTGTAAGCAGGAAAAGATGGGGCTTGTCCCCTAGTACAGGAATATGACAGGATGTCCACTCTCACCACTGTTGTTCAACATAGAACTGGAAGTCTATCTCAGCAATCAGACAACAAAAAGAAATAAAAGGCATCCAAATTGGGAAAGAAGAACTAAAGCTTTCACACTTCAAAAATGACATGATACTCTATATAGAAATCCCAAAAATTTCCAGCAAAAAATTATTAGAACTGATACAGCAACTCAGCAACTTGGCAGGATATAAAATTAATGAAAAGTCACCTGCATTTCTATACACATGCTAGACATGTCTCCAAGGTCAAGAGAAACAAAATCGAAAATGAACTATTGGTACTTGATCAAGATAAAAAAGCTTTTGCACAGCAAAGGAGACTGTTAATGAAGCTAAAAGGCAACCTACAGAGTGGGAGAAGATATTTGCCAATGTCTTACCAGATAAATGGCTAGTATCCAAGACCTATAAAAAATTTATCAAACTCAACATCCAAACACTAAATAATCCATTCAAGCTATGGGCAGAAGACATGGAAAGACATCTCTCCAAAGACATACAAATAGCCAAAAGACATATGAAAAAGTGTTCCACATCACTCAGCATCAGGGAAATACAAATCAAAACCACAATGCAATACGACTTCACATTGGTAAGAATGGCTAAAATGAACAAGTTAGGAAACAACAAATGTTGACAAGGATGTGGAGAAAGGGAGACCCTCCAGCACTGTTGATGGGGATGCAAACTGGTGCAGCCTTTCTGGAAACAATACGTCTGTGCCCATCCCAGAGCTCAGGACACCTGGGAACTGAGACACTCAGGCCACCAGGTAGTGGAAGCAGCAAGCTCTGGAGGGGAGAAGGAATCTGGTAACTTGGACTCTCAGGACCCTCTGACTAGAGGTCCCAGTCCCAGATGCAGGTGCAATGAGAGGCTGGGAAGTGACGGGTTTCCTGCAGGGCTCTGTAGTTTCTTCTGCCGTAATCAAATCCATGCTTATGGGCCCTCTGTTTTCCTCTCCCTGGGTCTCAATTTCCCTTATAACCTCACACTCTGGGGAAATGGTTCAGGTACTTTTGAGCCTTTATCAATTCAATAATTGCAAGATATTAAGAAACAATAATATATCACAGAGAAGAGTCCTCCATTTTTGGAATAAACCATCAAAATGGCAATAACCAAACTTGCCAAGGGCCAAGCACTGGTATGTGCTTGATATCGTCATAGCAATAAATGTGAGTGTAGAAGTACAATAATCTTCATTGCAGAGATGAAGAATTGTCTTTAACTAACAGCATGCTTTCTGATCTCAGGTGTTCTGACATTAATTGTTTGACTAATAATTCCACTCTCTTTATTGTGGCTTTCCATTGATGTGTACACAGAGATCAGATGTAAACCCCCCTTGTGGTTGTTGAAGAACCACAGCATCTCCATCAGTTCTGTGAGTCTCTGTCAAGGCTTCTCAGTGTCTCAAAGTTTCTGTGACAGAAAGACCTGGTCTCCACCCATCTGTCTATTGGGACTTCTGGAAATTCAGGAAGTCTGCAAATCTCATGCCCAGCTCTGTCCTGCATGTGGTTCATGAGGGCATCCAGATCCCATTGTGAGGAGAAGAATCCCAGAATTTGGGGTTCACTCTCACCTGCTGTGTGCTCTTGGACACTCACACAACTCCTCTATGCTGCAGTGTGTACCTATCCACCTGTAAAATGGTGGTAAATTTCGTACCTACATCATGAGATTGGGAAGCATATGTGAAAAAAGGAAGATAATGGGTGCTAAGTAATTGCCCTAGCAAAATCATAAAATAAAAGAGCACAGTTTCCTCAAGGATACCATATTGACCAAACTCCACCAGGTCCCAAAGAACTGTTCTAGGTCACTGCCATCTTGAGGATGCTAACAGGAAAATTTGTTATATACTCAGAGGATATGCAAATAGGGGTCTTCCTCTGGTGATTGAACCAGCCCAGTCCCGATTCTGCAGCTGGGAGAGGAGCCCATCCCCGGGATCCCCAGGTGTTCCCATTCAGTGATCAGGACTGAACACAGACAACTCACCATGGATTGTGTGCTTGGCTGGGTTTTCCTTGTTGCTATTTTACAGGGTAATTTAGAGAACAAGAGACATTGATTATTTGAGTGGATAGGAGGGAGAGAAACAGTGGATGTGTGACAGGTTCCTGACCAGTATGTTTCTTGTCTGCAGGTGTCCATTGTGAGGTGAGCTGGTGGAGACTGGGGGAGACCTGGTGAAGCCTGGGGGGTCCTTGAGACTCTCCTGTGCAGCCTCTGGACTCACCTTCAGTAGCTACTGGATGAGCTGGGTCTGCAGGCTCCAGGGAAGGGGCTGCAGTGGGTCGCAGGTATTAGCGGTAGTAGTAGCACATACTACATGGACCCTGCGAAGGGCCGATTCACCATCTCCAGAGACAATGGCAAGAACACGCTGTATCTGCAGATGAACAGCCTGAGAGCCGAGGACACAGCCATGTATTACTGTGTAAAGGACACAGTGAGGGGATTCCAGTGTGAGCCCAGACACAAACCTCCCTGCAGGAACACAGGAAACCTGCACTCCAGGGATGCTCATGTCAGAAGGGGGCATTCAGGTCACCAAAGGGTGCTCAGGACATCACAGACAATTAGATGAAACCCAGGAGCAGGTGGAGTGGTGGCCACGGGCTTCCTTTTGAGATCAGGGATTTCCTCTTTAGGCTCTCATCTGCCCACAGAGATATTTCATGTTTTCTCTGCCATCTTTAACTTTTCATATTCTCCATGCAACCAACCACACGAGGTAACATTGTCTACATGTAGATGAGCTCTCATCACTCATTAGGGAAGTTTCCTTAATCAATCTCTTCTATGTCCCTTTTTTTCTTTCATCAAAAATGACATGCTGGGATTCCCATCATCCCTGAGAAGCACCTGCACAGCCCAAGCTCTCTGTGTGCTGAGTACCTGTTCTTTGTCCTCAGGGGGCACACACCATCCCCATGTGCATATGAGCATCCCCCCAGGACATCTGCCACAACTGGGTCCTCGTCCTCCAGGCTGCAGTTAATCCTCTGGCTCATTATTCACGTGGGTGGACATTGGTGATCAGGAACTGCCCCTCTGTAGGCACCGCTCCATTTCCTGGATGGAAACACAGCCCACCTGATGGGAGGGGCTCTCAGATTTCCCCATGAAACAGGC